ACGGATATAGGCGATAAAATCATTACAAACGGTTTATGGGAAAATACCTGAAACGGGTCTAAAGATTTCAATTTTTTGCAATTTCTTGGTGTAGATTTTAAATTTTTTCCGCCATTTTTAAACCAGTTATGACGTCATCGATATTTTTTTCAAATGGCAATACCCCTTTTTTAGTGCGGAATATGAAAGACGATATTGTTCTGAATCCAGTACAGTCAATATTAATATTGGTTACATAAGAAAATTTTCGAGAAAAGTTAGTTTAAACTTTAATTATTTCAAATTTATTATAAATGATAAAAATAGCAGTAGCCATGAGTAACTATGGTAACCAATCATTTTAAACAATTTCCTAAGTGTCAAAAAGTGATTTCGTATAGCTTGTTGAAGTGTGATGGCGCGCCACCTTGTTGGAATAACTGCCGTTGGAATTGGGTTGGGTCAACATTATCGGAAAATCTGGCTCTTATGAAATGGAATGATATCGTTTTGAAAAAATCTAATCATCTCTTTCCAGTTAAGGTTTCTTCAAAAAAGTAATGACCCAGGACAGTATCTCGTACTATTTCGCTCCACACATTGATCTTTTGCGGATATTCAGTGTGACTTTCTTGCCCAACATCAATTTTGGGTAGCCCAATATCGATAATTTTGTCTATTTACTTGTCCGCTCAATGTAAATGTTCCCTCTTCGGTAACAATTATGTTTTTGACAAAGTCTTCGTTGTCGTTGTAAAATTGTTATTGCAAAAACGATGACTAAATGCTCTTGAATGAGGTTTACATGATAGGAATGATATTTTGCGGGTTTTAAAATTTTGTGAACCGTTGATTTACTAATGTACAAATTGCACCCAATACTCCTTACAGTAAAAAGTAACATGAAGTAACATGAGGGTTTTCTTGCCCAGCTAAAGCCACGTATTGTTTAACCTCCTCTGAAACATTTGGTAGGCCACACTTCGAGAAATGCTTCAAGGAATGCCCATGGTTTTTAATTTTGTCACAGCTAGGCTCACCATACTTTGGCTAATGAGTTGACGATCAGGATATGTTGTATTAAAGAGGTCACCTACTTACTAAACCATTTTTTGACACTTAGGAAATTGTTTAAAGTGATTGGTTACCATAGTTACTCATGGCTACTGCTATTTTCATCATGTCAACAAATCTGAAGTAATTAAACTTTAAAGTAATTTTTCTTATGTAAGCAACATTAATATTGACTGTACTAGATTCAGAAAAAAAATCTTCTTTCATATTCCGTAATAAAAATGGGGGATCGCCATTTGAAAAAAATACCGATGACGTCATAACTCACTTAAAAATGGCGGAAGTAATTTAAATTCTACACCAAACAATTGCAAAAAATTTAAATCTTTAGACCCGTTTCAGGAATTTTTCCATAAATCGTTTATAATGATTTTATCGCCTATATCCGTTACTTTACGGACACACTGTATAGAAGTATTAATTTCCGACGCTTGTTGGCAATCTGGTACCCAAATATTCCAAATGATTTTTGATCTACTTATAGAAGATAAAATTTGAATTTCAATTAAGGCATGTTCTTCTATTGCTGGAGTATCTTAATCTTTATCCTTCTCCAATTCTCCTTCTTAAGATATCTTGTTTTACTCACAAAAGTTTCGTTGTCATTAATGTTCAGAAAATGGAAGATATAGCACAAGAGTTCCAGTATAAAAGGACTTTTCGTCTTTTTGCCTGTTCAATGGATTAACCCTGCAAGGTCTTTGTTGCGTATGACTGTTTTCCTATATCATATCTTCTTCTTCTAGCACTACAGTTCTCCATGAACTTTAGCTTGCTGCACAATACGTTGCCATTCCGATCTGTCAGACGCCGCACGCCTCTAGATGTAATTTATTTTTATTTTATTTTTATTTGTTACAATTTGGGACGCAAACAGAGAGAACATCCCCAGTGAATCATCCTGACGGCGTACATGGGACTCCACACCACAGAACCATAGCTTAATACACTGTTTACAAATACCATATAAAGGGACTTTATACAGGTAACATTGGTGAAACTTCTGCTTATTCTGATAACGAACCCCAAGTAACGTAATGCTTTTTTCACCATAAGGTCGATATGAAGGTGGAATCGCAGTTTATAATCAAGTATAATACCAAGATCCTTCACTTTGTCAGTAGACGCAATAGCTCTACAGTTAAAGCTGTAATGAATGTTAACCGGATATCGTTTCCATGTAAACGTAATTTTTTGACATTTGTCGTAATTAAGATGAAGTTTGTTGACGAGACGGTCAAGGCCTTCCTGAAGACGTAGGCAGTCGAGACTTGATGTTATATTTGTAAATATTTTATTATCATCTGCATACAGTAGGAATTTGGAAAACTTAAAGCAGGAAGCTATATCATTAATATAAATTGAAAATAATGTTGGTCCAAGATGGCTGCCTTGGGGCACACCGGAAGAGATGGACTTATAATCGGATAGAAAGCTACCAACCTTGACTGCCTGACTTCTATCTGATAAATATGATATAATCTAGTGCACAATGCCATTTGGGATGTTAAAGGAAGAGAGTTTTTGAACAAGAATTGTATGGTCAATCTTGTCGAAGGCTTTAGAATAATCGGTGTAAATAGCATCGATTTGATTAACGTAGGATACCAAATTAGTCTCAGCCGATCGTCCAGGCAAGAAACCATGTTGTTCATGAATAAAAGAGTGAGTTAATCGACTGGCTAAAGTATTCCTGGACAATTTTCTCAAAAACCTTGGGAATAGCCGAGAGCATAGAAATCGGGCGGTAATTTGAAACCAACTGCTTGTCGCCGGATTTAAAAATTGGGACGACGAAAGCCGTCTTCCACTTGCTCGGAAATACCCCTTCAAGTAATGACTTCGATAAAATTAAAAACAGGAGTAAAGACAGTTCACCAGCAAACTCTTTTAAGAAGGATGAAGGAATACCATCTGGGCCTGGGCTAGATGACTTCTCAAGGTGTGACAGAATGTTAAGAACCGCATCCACAGAAAACCAAGGTGAAACACCCGTGCCGCCGAGAATCGCTGAACGCTTGATGGTGCCATCTACAGAAACCGACGAGAAGTACTCTCCGAACGCAGATGAGATATCAGGACCCGAGTTCACAGTCGACCCATCAGCAGAAATCATGGATGCTGGCATGCCAGACGCAGAACCCTTAATGAAGGACCAGATCTCCCTCGGGTTCCCGGACACCCCCGCCTGAACGGAATTCAGATAGGCTCTGTGATCAATAGCTATTAATCTCTTTGATCTAGATCGTAAAATAGCGAAAGTCAAGTAATCATTGTGATGACCGGAGGATTTCCATTTTCTGTGAAAACGTAGCTTCTCTCTAACAACTCCAATGGTAGGGCGCTTGTACCAATGAGGAAAGCGTTCTCTGGGTAAAGCGCGCATAAGAACATCTTTATTAATTATATATATAATTAACACGCTCATAAAACGCCTCAACCATGCTCTCTACGTTCATCCCTGCAAAGACAGACCGCCATTCAATCCTATTCAAGAAATTTCTTATATTGCCAGAATTAGCCTTATTAAAGAGACGGCTAATTTTAGACCCATCATTCAAATAAGTTGCGATACATGGCACAAAAAATTCAAAGGGTGGATGGTGACTGTCGCAATCCACAAGTGGATCCATGCAGGGACGGATGCTCTCAACGCGTCCATTCGCGCATAAGATCTGAAATTCTAGAATTATTATTCAAAACATTATTAAATTGACCAAAATTACAATATGAATAGACGATAAGAAATTCTACAGCACGACGATCGGAACCTCCCAGGGGGTTGATGCGCAATCACGCTCGGACGCAGTCCATGAAATCGTTGGTAGGTTGGAATCGCCCAAAATAATAATCACAAAAGAAAATACGCTTGACCGCACTGCACCTTTAACCACAAATCCTCAGCATATGGAGATTCGACATAGGAACGGAATGAATACCATGGCGGGTAGCAATAAGAACTCCACCATCGTCCTTCTTCGTAGACACAGTAGATTCTCTGTCCCGACGATGTATAGAATATGATGAGTTGAGCAGCTCCTTGTCGGATACATTGCTGTAGAGAAAGGTTTCGGTTAGGCAGATAATATCCGACGATAAGGCGTATGAATTAATTGGGGAAGTGGTCGTCTTGGAACGAAGACCACGGACATTCTGGTAATAGACGCTAAGACCCATAAATAAAGGTGATAGGTAATGGAGGATGTATACGAACATCCTCCATTACATCATTCTTCCATCGTTTTTCTTTGGCCATCCTATAGCTTTCTGTACCTGTGGTGTCCATTCTACAATTTTTTTCCCTCCTCTGTCTCCTTGCATTCTCTCCGGATGTCTTTGTCATTTTATTCTCTGTACTTGTATGTGTCGTACTATATATGCACCATCCATGAACTGGTCCACTTCGTGGTATATTCTTATGACCCATATTATATCTTGCGTGAAATGCAACTTTCAAGAGTCTTAATTCATTTTCATCTCCATCGATATGGCATGTTTCGCATCCATATGTTGTACTTGGTCTTATAATAGTGCGATAGATCTTAAGATTCGATTGTCTGCCTAGTATTTTACTCATCATTAGGTGTTTGTAGACATAGTAGCACTTATTATTAAAATTCCAGAATTTTAATAATAAGTGCTACTTATTATTAAAATTCTGGACAGCTTTTAGAACCAGTTTAAATATTACAGTTCTGTTCACTCTTCTTGAATTCTGACAGTTGCGTTCTTGAAAGGCCTGTTCATGTTATATTGGAAGAATTAAACACAAACCTAACCTCAACACGTTAGAAAGAGTATGCTTTCTAACTTATCGACTATACGAGCAAGTCAACGATTGAACTGCTATGTGATGTCGGCTACAATCTTTTTAACGATGTAGATTGTGTAGTCTAAGTTAATATCTTTTTAGCGAAACAACATAACAATTTTTTTTTCTTTTACAGTATTAATAGAATAAACACTTTAGAAGATTTTCAATTTTGTAAACGATTAGAAGAGTTGTACATCCGTCAAAATAACATTAGGGACCTGAACCAAGTATGCTATTTACAAGCATTAACGAATCTAAAAAATTTATGGTTGGGAGAAAATCCATGTGCCAACACAGATGGGTATAATAACATAAATTTTAATTAAATGTTATCTCTCCAAAAGCAAATAATGGTTTTTTATTTAGTTATCGATTGGCTGTATTAAGAGCTTTACCACAACTACAAAAGTTTGATAACGTTACGGTTACTCCCGAAGAACTTAAAGAAGCTCAACGCAAAGGCAAAGTTCTTTCACACCCTGAAGATCCTGAACCGAGCGAAGATGAAGAGGTTTACGCTCCCCCTCCTCCTCTTCAAATTGCCAGAGAGTCAACACCACCGTCTCAGTATAATCGGTATCAAGAGTATTCTGAACCACAAGAACAACAACGACAAGAATTTAGTCCACAAAGAAGTCCATCTAGGCAAGATGTAAGATGTAACAAAAATTGTTTTTTGTATTTACTCCAAAACCTCTCCTTTAATATTCCTCATCTCCTTTTAACCAACGTAATTTTGTCTTTTTTAAATTGTTTGTGATGGTTTTAATGAGAAACTAAAAAAACTAACATCCTAATCTTATCTTAACCAGACTATTGTTTATGAGGCGGAGGAGACTGAGGAATACGTTAAGGTGGAAGTAAATTCAGAGGAAGCGCCGCCTCCATATTCTACTTCCGTGGATGAGGTAAACAGATATAACCAACAATTTAATTACTCAATAACGAGATTAAAAATAACTAGTTTTTTTATACTAATCATACAAATTAACAAGAAATCGATTTAATTTCGTAGAAAAATTTTTTTATTCTTTCTTTTATTGATTGCCGCTTTTTTTAAACTTTTATGATATGGCACAGATGATTCGGGGTCACGGTTACAATTCCAAGGTTTTATTTACTATCGGGAAACATGCAACTCTCTTCATCGAGGAGTATTGGTATTTTATTTTATTGGATTCTTTTGCCTTTGTCATTGAGTAGTTTATTGATTTCTTTAGTTGGGGAAATGCAAGGTCGTTGAATTAATTTTTGAATTATTAAAATTATTCTTCACGTTTATATTTTTATAATATTTACATCAAAGTCTAGAAAGTTATGTATTGCAGACATTATTGAAATTCTTCAAGTCTTGCAAGATAACTTTACAGACGTGGATAGTATTAAAATTTTCCTGAAACACAAAATACAAAAGGTGCCGTTTTAAGTGGCGCAAAATTAATTTTAATTCAGGAAAATATAATTACTATCTTTGCTGCAAAATGATGTTTATTAAAATTATTTTCTTTTTAGTTATCTCGAAAACCTGAAGTATCAGTAAGAAGAAACTATTCTCCTGAACAAGAATACGTCGATCGAAGACGAAATAGTTACGAAAGAGAATCACCACCACAATATTATGATGTAACTATTTTTTTATTGATTTTTTTTAGTTTAGTTTATGTCTTATACTTTTATTACAAGAAAATCATTCCGAGTATTTATCAAAATCGATTAAATTGTAGGTTATTTTAACTGATTCTGTTTCATGATTTGCACAATTTGCAATTTATAGAAGTTGTATCCATACATACAAAAAAAGCTTGTATGTATGGATACACATACATACAAGCTTTTTTTGTTGCTGCTGAGCTGAAGGGAGCGGCCCCTCTCGTTACCGCGGCCTATAAGACCTATTTTCCATGATGAACCTTAGTATTGCTACAAAGTCTTTTCGTTTATGTCAACAGGTCTCAGGTAAACAACCATTCTGAAAATGTTGTGTCTTAGGCGACCTCTGGCGACGCAGTCACAGAATATGTTTAGCAGTCTCTGACTTGTCATTGCAAACCCGACAAGTTTGATCCTCAGCTTATCCAATGTTGAAGAGATGGTGGTTTAGGGACGTGTGGCACTTTGTTGAGGCCTCAAACCTTTTTGGTTTTCTTTTGCGGCGGAGTTATCATACTCTTCGGCTGTCTGTGTCCTGGACCTTTTTTCCATGCTACCTTTGACTTCTCCCATGAGTTTTAGTTCACAACCGGGTTAGGGTCCAATAAAGGGCGTCCTCGCTACCTATTTGTCCAACTTCTCCGCCTTTTCATCACCCACAATATTTTTGTGACCTGGAACCCGACATGGGGCAACTTCATTCACAAGTATAGGCCTGAATTGCCTTTAGGGCGGCCCTACTATCTGTAAAGATGTTTACCGATGCCGCTTTCTGTTCTTTCTCGAGATTCAAAACGGTGCAAAAGTTTATGGCAAGAAGTTCAGCCTGAAAAATGGTTGTATCCAAGCTTAAGGATACCTTAATGCGGCTTTTTGGTCCGCTGATGCCCATACCTACCTCAGATCCAATTGTCTTAGAAGCATCAGTGTACCAAAAGGGCTTCTCTTGTAAGTTGAGGCTCACCCTTCGCCCATTCTTTCGTACTTGTAAACATGACCTTATATGGCTGGTCGAAATTATATTTTGTCGCTATTAGATCCATTTTGATTTGAATCAATTGGTTTAGGCATGAGTCACTGAGGATTTTGAGATGTCCTCTGAGGTTACCCTGCATCAGCTTGAGTGAAGAGCATGTCATCAGTGATAAGGGACTCAAAGCTGCCTCTTTTTGTATGTACAGGGTGAGGCCCAACCGATTTACAACAGACCATATACACACTTTGAGGCACATTTTAGAGAAGGGTTACGAATATGACTTTGATGTGAACTGCCTGTTCATTGATTTCAAACACGCTTTCGACTCGGTCGACAGGCGGAAACTCTTTCAGTACCTGTTCCAGCTGGGTATCCCACAGAAATTGGTTAATCTTGTATAACTAACGAAGGAAAACAATGCTGCGATGGTGGTAGCAGGAAAAGTCGGACAGGGAGAGATGTCCTCTCAGCCCTGCTTTTTAAATTGACACTGCACGCTACACGCTATTTATATTCCATCAGGATATAAAAGAAATGGAAAGACGGTTTCAGAAAAAATGGCCCGTATCCGTAAGCAAATTCTATAAAAATTAAATAAAATACAAAATTCGGACTGACGTGTCCCCCCCATCTGACAATACTCCATATGCTGGGTTCCAACACATTATACGGTTTAAAATGGCCATAAGTTATTATGAAAACTCGTACAGCACCATTTGAGAGCACATTTTGAAGGGTAAGGATACAATATGATGAAATAGATAGAATACAGCAAAATGATATTGTGCGTCTCACACATAACTTAAAAAAAAAAGACATTTTTCTTGTACATAACCTCAAATATTTCAAAATCCTGACGTGATGGTCCAATTCTGAGCTCGGATTCTGATTCCACGCAAAAAACTACTTCGGAAGTGATCGTCAGCCATCTAACAACAATCAACACTCCTTTTTCGCAGATCTGTGTAATTTATGGATTAGTGATGAAGCTCATTTCCACCTCAGGGGATATGTTAACAAACATAACTATCGCTATTGGGATGGTGAAAACCCTCATCAACTTTACGAACAACCTGTCCATTCGGCCAAAGTTACAACTTTGTGTGCGATGTTTTCAAATAATATAATTGGCGCATACTTCTTTGAGAATGAGGATGGCCTATTTTCATTCCAGAAGTGCCTATAAATGAGAATACTTATTTCCAACAAGATGGAGCAATTTGTCACACCGCTAGTGTTACATTGAACTTTTAGAAATTTTTTTTTTGCCTCATCAGTAAAAATGGGAATATTCATTGGCCTCCACAATCACCACACCTAAGCTCGTGTGACTATTTTTATGGGATATCTCAAGTCTAAGGTCTATGAGGTACGCGCGGCAACAATATAAGACTTAAAAGTGCGGATTAAAGATGAAATTTGTGCAACAACGAAACATGCAACGAAAAATTTAAATTTATGTTTTATAATACTTTTTTAATAGTTTGAAATAGTCCGATTTGACTGTCTCGCCCCGTACCAGTGAAATAGGGCTTCAAGAGCAACCGTCTGACAAGATCTCATTACACCCGTTATATTAAGATATGCATGCACGCCGCTGGATTTGTGTCAGTTGTTGTTGCGCTATCTTGTCATCTGTTTGTGGCCATCAAACTAATGAAGCATAGGCGACCATGGATCTGATTATTGCTACATAGGCCTATAGATACTAGTTGGTTTACATCTTCTTCTTCCTTTAGCTGTACAATCATGGCCTCTCTTTCTCTATCCTCGGCAACCTCTCTCTATCGTTCAATACGGATAGTCCGTAAATGCTACTCTGCTGTCATCTTCCATGTCTTTCGTGGTCACCCTCACCTTCTCTTCTCTGTCGGTTTTCATTCAGTCAGCACTCCTGTGCAGCACTCTTACGAGTCTGCCATCGTGTGTAGATGCCCCAACCATTCTGCCTTTATAAACGCTTAAACTAACCTCCTCCTGGAATGTCAAGATCAAAGTTACGCACTGTGACCTTGAGGTTCCAGGAGGAGGTTAGTCAATCTGCAAATACTTATTACTATCAAAGGGTGTTTTTCTCCTTGTAGAATACAAAGAGTGAATTTTGTCCTTATCCTAAATCCCTTTGTTCGGTATCCAAAGCTATATACTCTGGAAATAGTCTGTTGAAAACGGAGGGAGTGAATTTACCTTTGTCTTTATCAAATCAATCGAATGATTATTATTACAGCTACACTTCTAATTTTCTTAACATAATGTTTAGGACAGAAATATTACGACAGGAAATACATAAATAAGTAAGCTGGTTTTCTTGAATAACTAATGTTGTCCTCGAGAGTTTCTTGAAATAAATGAATATCTTTTATCAATATGGATAACTCTGGTTGGTTTAATCCTCGTCCGGGTATTAATTTCTCGTACTTTTTGGTATCACCGAGGTTACCGTTATACAACTTTTATAACTGATCCTAAAGCGTCAGTAGTACTGAGTTTTAGTACTTGTAACAAGTTGTTTTCCAAAATGTAATTAATACAATAAATCATTAATGATTTTTATTTCTTCATAATTCAACTTAGTTCATGAACAATGTCTTCATCTTACATTACATTACATAAATTACATATCTGGTAGGTGGACCAACTAACCCTGCACCGCGACCTAAGAACCCAGATAGATAACATTATCAGATTTCACCGTGCAGTTCAATGCTCTTAACGAACATTAATACCTTGCTCAGTGAAAAGTCATTCATCCTTTGCGGAGATAAACTGCGACCCATCAATCGAGAATCTAACAATATGATTAACTGCAGGGAAGTGGCATAGAATATGCTAAACCGTTTCCTCGTTCTCCGCACATATTCGGCATTCAACATCGTCGGCTAATCCCAACAAGTTGAGCTGTGTCTTTAATCGGCGGTGCCCAGTAAAGACACTCATTAAAACTTTAATGATGCTACGAACAAGTATTAAAATATTCCCGGGTTTGACAGTGGCGATGTTAATAAATAACTTAGCGTGTCTCATACCAGGAAAACTGCCTATAGTAGGCGAAGTCTCTCTTCAGCCTACAGTCCAATCCTATGTTTGGCCATCGCAAATGATACACCAACTGCTGGCTCTGGCCCCACAAACGCTTTAGCGATGCTCTCTCGTGCTAGCTTACCTACCGCTTCATTTCCATCAACCCCAGAGTGACCTGGGACATGGTCACTCTGGTGACATGGTTATCAACTGGACTGCGTGTTCGCCGAATAAAATGATGTCAGTAGGGTATGCAACCAACATTTACCATTGTAGGCAAAAGCCGGGCCGCTCCATAAGAAAGCGTTCTTACTAAAATAGCATAATAAGACAAGAATGAGCAAGTTGCTTCATGTGAATATTTAAAATGACATTATTAAAATGTTTTAAAATGTTATTATTAAAATATTATTAAAAAAAATGATTTTTGTCGAAATTTTGAACTTGTTTATAGACAGGTGCTTTGTCATTTTGTCACTGACAAAGGTACAGCAAGCCAGAAAATTGCATAGTAGAAGGGTATTTTTCTTATTTGCTCATTTAACAGCCCCGCAATAGCATTAACCTTGCCGTGGGGCCGCAAAGTGGTCAATTTCATGAATTTAGAACGACAAAATTCATACCTCAAAAACCCAGCAAGCTACGGCAATGAAATTTCGTATGTAGCTATTAGTAACAAAATCTAGGAATTGTATCAAGTTTGGATCATATTTGTCAACCGGAAGTGGTACTTTATTTGAAACCATCTTGAACTTGTTCTATATAAACTTGTTGTTTAGAGAGAGTTAAACAAATGCAATATTGCATAAGCGATTAAAATTATGAGAAACGTTCATACCGTAAATTTCACTCGAACCGCGTAACCGGAAGTGGTCCTTTATCTGAGCACCATCCATCATTTTTTATACAGTAAAACCAAAAAGTTTAAATCTTTAGACCCGTTTCAGGGATTTTTCCATAAACCGTTTATAATGATTTTATCGCCTATATCGGTTACTTTACGGACACCTGTACATGTAAACTGGCATGTTACAGAATAATAGGATAAATGCATGAAATTAATTAGTAATTTCTTTGTAGTCATAAAAATATGTAGATATTAAATATCAGTCAAATTGTGTAACCGGAAGTGGTTAAGTTTGTTTATTTAAAAGGTTCATATACAAACCTGTTTTGTAATTGATTGCAAGAAAAACGCTCTAGTCGATTAATTTGGAGTATTTCATGAATTTTTATGGATTCATGTCTATTTATGTGTTTTTGTAACAATTAAATTGTAATATAAACTGTAGAATGTGGGAGGGTGGGTTAGTATAGCTTTTCACCCGACTTAACCAACCGTTTATTACGATAAATGAAATAGCCTTTTTACTATACAAATTTAATTATATTTAAAAAAAATATAAATTAGGGGGCGGAAATTTAATATCGCGCATAAATTCTATTGAAATTTTTATTTAAAGTTTGTATTCGTGTTTGTAACGCTCTTTATTTCATTTCGTTAGGGTTTGACAATGGGGATTTTTTACTTGTGATATGAAGGTGCCATAATCATATCACTTCTGCTTTTCTTTCGAAGCGTGAAAATATTGAGATTTAATCCTGAAATATGTTACCTCATTTTTGTCACATTCCTCATTTGATAGTCAATATTTTTTAAAGTCAGTGGAAGTAAGTAAAGTCTTATATACCATCTTATAGCTAATCCTTCAGGTTACAAAATAAAAAAAGAATTGTAATGATTCATTATGAACCGTGCAAGAAAAATCAAATAGCAATGTGAATATGTGATGTTACTTTTTCAAATTTAAGAACTATTGCCTAGTGAACTAAATAAACGTAGTTATATATACTAACTGTATTATAAATACAGTTAAAGGTATGGTCTATCACTATATAAACTCAGTATATGTATATTCAATACACATTGCATACAACCGTACAATATAATCAACAATACAACAATCTTAACAAAATTAAAGACCCGAAAAAAAACATCCAGATAGTAGTAAAGAAACCATTCTAATCAAAAAAAAATCCTATATTATATGCCAGTCATACAGTAAGCAAAATACCGCAAAAAACTCCACAAAAAAATGACCAATTTTTACATCTTGTCCTCCTAAATTTGAGAGATTGACCACTGTGGGCCAGTCGCTTTTGCCTACAATGGTCACTGTTGGTTGCTTAACCTATTGGCTTCACTCTTTTACACGGGAACTATGCGGAACGCTCAGTCCAGTTGATAACTATGTCACTGCCTGGGACCCAGATCAGAAAAACTCTGTTATCACAACTCAGAGTGTTTAATGTTCTTTTACGGTCATTAACCAGAGCCGACATCGTTTTCACGACTTGAGCGCCTATAGAGCGGCTTGACTGTCTGAGAAAAATCGTACTGTCATGTTCTTCACCTCTCTCTCAAAAAGGATTTTAGCACCCATGGAATACAGTACAGTACGTACCCAGGCTGTAAGTTTGCTTAATCCGAGGTGTCTGGCAGTATACTTCTACCCGACCCCTTCCAACGTTCTTTATCCATCTGTGAACATGCAAATATCTGCCTGAATCAGAGAATTTTCGTTTTTGGTCCAGGACTGCCGTTCAGGTATACAATCTGGTATCGAGCGTTATGATAGTGATGCCGTCTAATCTAACAGCATTGATAGCACAGTATCAGTGGCTACACTAATGGCTTCGACTATCGCAATCAGATCATCAATCAGAAGGAACCAAAGCCGGGGAGATAACTAGAAACTATTCTACTATCAAGTATATTGCGGATCCTACCGGCTATAGTTACTTCCACTCCCCTGTCAAGAGCAGCTCTTTCAAGAGATTGTGTTATGGGGTTGTTGAATGCACCTTCTATATCCAGAAACGCATAAACCAAGATCTCCTCTTTATCCTGGATGCTCTATCAACCAAGTTGTGTAGAGCTAATTCTGCTGATTTCCCCGCTTGATAAGCTTACTGGTGATGACTCACTGTTTTCAATAGAAATGACGTCAAGCTGATGGGTTGAAAGGCCATCATTAGGAGTAGGGCCCGCTTTAAGTATATAAGATACTCTTTCCTCAGTCCATTCTGCCGGTATATATTTCCAGGCGATACTCGCTCTGAAAATGTTTACCAAAATTGGCAACAATAGTGACCTTCCTTGCTGTAACAAAGCAGGAAAGATATTGTCTTCTCCGGACGATTTAAACGGCTTAAACGTTTGAATCGACGGATGTGCAAAAAATGACTTTTCTAGCCACACTCCAATCCGTATTTGAGGGGTTCTTTGCTATGCAGAAATAGCCCGCTATGAGAAGCCGTGCTAGAGTTCGTTAAACGACCATTAGGCCGTTTAAGTGAGCCCAGCTTCAGGATCGGATTTCTAGCGAGAATTTTGTGAACTCTCGCACTGCTGGGTGTGTCTTTCACTCCCTCACAGAACCTCCTCCAAGACTCTCTTTTCGCCTTACGAATATTTTCGCTGTAATTCGTTAGGGCTTGTTTATATTGCTCCCATTCTCTTCATCTTAGAAGCAGATAAAATAACCTATAATACTATCAACATAACCACAGAATAACCTATTCTTTAACATAACCAAATATCAAATTTGTATGTTTTTATACTTAAAAAATTTAAAAAATAACTAATATGAAATCGCCTTTTTTAAATCCATTCATTTAGCGTTCACCTCAATCTAATAACTCTCATCCTGAAGATCAAATATCTGGGGAAGGATTCAGAGAATCAAGGATCGTTACGAGTCATTCTACTAACAGTATTAAACAGGTTCTAAAAAAATTTGTTTATAATTTATAAGTACATATTACTTTTAATTTAAAAGGAATACACCAACGGTGATAGATACGTACAACAACAGTGTTATCGTCACACCGAAACCGAAGCTTGTTATGGCCAAGACAACCCACCACAACGTAATCGAGAGAGGCACCCTCATTCTTCAGCGGTTCAACACCGCCCACCATTTACTCGAAGACCAGTCACTAGGGTATGTTTTGATATTTAAAAGATACAGACAGGGTGTTTCTAAATTGATGCGAAAAATTTTCTCCTCCAAATTATAGCCCTCTAAAGTTAAGCGAAAAAATCTGCAACTTTCTTATCTCTTGACATTTTACAACTTACTAATTGTTAGTTTGATCACAAAAAATAAAATAATGCTGAGATCAATTTGACATAACTGATTTTATTTTTTTATGATCAAACTAATAATTTTAGGAGAAAATGTCAGGAGACAAAAAAGTTGTGTATTGAAAAATGTGGACGCATTAAAAAGTTCTAATGCAAAGTATTATAGGGGTTGATTTTTCACCCCCTTGTATAACATTGTAATAACATTTTAGGGTTATAAGAATCATCAAAAAGTGTCATTTTATTAAAACATTCATTCTTCTAAATTCCTCTCTAGTGCATTTATTCAATAAAAACAATTTCTTCCCCTAACTTTAGAGTGCTGCAACTTGGTGAGGAAATCTTTTGCATCAATTCCTTATTATTTAAATTTTGTTTTTTAGAATTCAAATATTTTATCAGCAGTATTATGTTTGGTAAAAGAATTGGATTATCCGAGTTTGGAGGTTGTTGAGGTAGCTGTGAGATGTCGTATGGATGAATTAGATGAATGACAGATATTAAAAAAGGGACAGGAAGTTGATGATGAGCAAGATGGAAATAATGGAGATTAAGAAAACGCAAAAAATGATTTTTCTGTTTTAAGATGTGTGTTTAAAAGAACTCGGTTTTGTTTATTTAATAACGTTAATAAAGTGATAATTTGTGAAACTTTTTTAACATTCCACGTAAATAATATTAAAATCTAACTGCCAATGGTGTGACATCAGAACCAAAGACTTGATTCTTTTTAGTTTCTTTATTTTTACGCACAAATTTTCAGTTAAAACATTATAAAAAGATTAATACTTAATAATTATTATTAATAATGGTTTTTCGGACCAATTATTTTTAATTCCCTCCATTATTACTACAAAAAGTGTTTAACTTTTCATAATCTAGTCTTTAATCTTAATAACTCTTGCCTCTTAATAAATATTTTAAAGAAACTGATATGCTTTATTACGTAAATAACAATTTCTATGTTGTAGAAATGAAATGGTGCAATTGTTAATGATTTAATTTAAATTAAAATAATAGAATTAAGTCAAATTTATTTATAAACAAGAGATGGTTAATTTATTTACAATAAATAAAATACAAATTAATAATTGTACTCGAATTAAAAAAATAGATATAATCAATTTAATAGTGATAACAATAGATTTTAAAATTATTTTTTTGTCTCATTATTTGTTAAATAGTTAATTGTATTTAAATAGGTGTTGGCATGTTTTCTTTTTTATTGTATAATTTATAATTACAATAAAGTTGTCTAATAAAAAAGAATAGTAACTTTATATCATATCTCGACACGTTTGTTCATCAAACGGTTTGTCATACGGATCGTTCTTTCTATACCCATCAGTATCAACACAATAATATTCATCCCCATCTTTTTGAACGGGAGAATAGCTTCCGTCAGGAGAACAAGCTTGCATAAGTTGTTGTCCAAGTAATTCAAAAATTTTTACATCTCTCGCACAATCTTAAAAGAAACAATTATTTTTATATTTTTAACTTATAAATACTTACTGCAAGTTAATGTGGGATCCTCCCCAGCGACAGCATAACTTCCAATTCTTGAATTATCTTTCCACACGCATACCGTTCTAAAATTATAACGATATATTACAACGAATTAATTTAAATTAACAAAATTGTTCTTACTGTCCCTCTTCAATTTTATACGGTCCAAAATTCCCATCATAAAAACATTTCAAGTTACCAACATTTATTTTTGTTGTTCCATGCGCGTTGTATTCATCTATTATTTTCGCTTGAGCGTAAATGTGACTGTCACATTGCCGGAAATATTGAGCACCAACCGATTCACTATCATCTAAAAATAATTTTTATAATAAATGTTAATAGCATTAATGAATAAGTAAAATAATTACAGCATGGTAATTGTGACATCATTAATTCCGGTACAACCGGTGCTGTTAATTCCCCCGTTTTTGGTTCAACACACCAACAATTTCCGTCTTGACATTGAAGAGGTTCGTAATTTCCCATGCTATCACAATGTAAACTTACGAAAAAATATTTTTTTGCTTCCTCCATTTCAGCTCTTTTACGACTACAAGCTAAAAGTCATAAAAAAACATTCAATTTGTTTATCTAAGAAGAGAGATTCTGCAAACAATTAATTATTTCCCGTTCCTAATATTACTCATATTCTAGATAAATTAGATCGAGCCAAGTACTTTACTAGTTGAAACCTTGCTAGTGGGTACCATCAAATTGAGGTTGAGGAAAAGGACCGTGACAAGATAGCTTTTATAACTAATGAAGGACTCTACGAGTTTAATAGAATGCCCTTTGGGTTATGTATATATATGGGCCTGACTGATGATATATGCCAAGTTTAACTCAACGACATCGTAGTGTTTCCAAATTTCTTGCAAGAACACAAAATTGATTGGCTTTGGCCGGATATTAAAAACCTTTTTCTTACTACTTCCACCATTCACAGGAATTAGTATCCCTTTTAGGTGTTGGACAGTGCAGATAATAATCAAGTTAAACCCCATTTGTTTTATTGAATACAACTTTATGTATATTTATTTATATTGTATATTATTTGTCATTAGCAACCTCATTGTAACAATCCCAATACGATATATAAAATCTCTTGTTGCAGTTTCGTCTACTTTTCTTCTCTTCGCTTCTAATTCATCATCACATTCCTTACTAACAGAACTGTCGCTGTTATCACTTTCGATTATTAATTAAAGTATCCTCTTTTCAATGCAAAAAGTCGTTTTGAAAAATCACTTTTATTTCTTGAGAAATAAATTTTTGAAATGATCGAAATTTTTTTCGAATTTTGCAATTTTCATCGATTAACTTTTAAAAATTCGTAAAAAAATCCAGTTCTTGGAATATGAGTATGAAAATTTCCCAAAGTGTTAATAAAAGTGTCCTCTTTCCAATGAACCAACCCGTTTTNAATAATTAATTAATCCAATAGTAGATGATCAGATAATTGTGCAAATATTCTCATTATTAAAAAATTTATTGCCATACTTAAACATTGTTTTGCATATAAAAATTTTTGGATTTATCCGAAAATATTATTCGCTTCAGGTTTGTTTTTTTTTGGGAGATACTACGCCGACGTCTCGGTTACCGAGCTCCACTATGTCTCTGGCAATGTTTGGAACGGAACAATATTTGCGATGTTGCCGTATTTATACTCCGCAAGCAATCAAAACCGATTAAACGTTTTAAACCCATTTTATTTAAGGCCGCCGTTCAATGGCGATTTTTATATGAACCGACACTGGTTCACTCGGTGCAGCTTCCCGGCTTTCTCTCATATCTTTATTCAAAGTTAAATACATAGGATTGTTGTTAACATATTTCTGTACAAAATGACGTATTTTTTGTTGTAAAATAATTAGGATGTTAATCACAAAAAATTGCTAAACTTTGCCATAAAAACGACTTCGTATAAATGCGATTTATGTGAAAATTATACACTTAAACGGGAGAACAAAGGTGTCATTTTTTGCACATGTATCATAGGAATAGATTCCACGCTAGTACAAGCGCAGAAAATTTGTCATTATCACGGGAAGCTGCACCAAGTGAAAATGTGCGATTTCCTCAATATACTTAAGCTTCACTAGATTGCGTAAAGGAATCTACCTAAAATCGGTAAATTAAGACATTTTAAAACTTTGTCAATCGTCTCATAGAGGGAACATATTAAAATTATTACATAGTACTGCAAATATACGTTTACTGTGGTTTTTACAACATCCTATAAGGAATTTTAATACCGTTTTTATCAGTGTATCAATCAAATATATAACAGTTAACAATTTTGGGCAATTAATCCTTTCGAATAAAATATTAAATATAGATGCCCTTTGCAAATAAATGTGCTGTAGTCTCATGGTCACACAGTTTCTGAGGGGCCGAAGAGACGGACGTTCGGAAGCAAGAAAACGGAGCTTATTTCTCGGTGGGGAATACCGAGAGAGAGAGCTTTTTACAGATAACGAACAATAGATTTTTTGCTGTTCTTAATCTGTTTATTTGTCTTCTGCCCAAGTAATCCGTTTGAATTGAATATGTTTATATTACCCGTTTTTTTATAAAACGTTTAAAAAGACGTGAACAGTAAGTGGTGTCTTCATCAGTAATTATCTAATAGAACAAGGATTTTGGTAATTTTGTGGATTATGCAGATGAACACAAATCAAAAATTGTATGTAAAACGCGGTATTGTACTGCAATTAAAAATAGTTATTTATAACAAATATTGATAACAAATTTACCCATAAATTGTACATAGTTAAGATTTAGACAATTGTACAAAATAATAGACAAAATTAATTTATTAATAGATAATTGTGAGTAGCGATGGTCAAAAACAGAAATACCGAAAAGGTCCCTATTCTTTCAATGTGATGTTATACGAACAACAATTTTAATAGAGCAAGATCAAGAAACGGCTGAATCTTTACTTTTATTATTATATCAAGGGTATTTTGTATCTAATGGCTAAACTCCTAGTGCGGTATCCTATTTTTTAGGATACTTTTAATTATAAGTACGAAGGCTTTCACGGTGTTAATTAAACTAAAACTAGATCTAGCACTAGACCTAAAACTAGAAACTTTTGGGTTAAGCTGTGCGTTTTTTGAAAAAAATTTTAACGTTTCGGATGCCATGTTGCAACCTTCTTCAGAAACAAGTTCGAAAGTTTCTAGTTCTAGGTCTAGTGTTCTAGACATTGAAGTTACTTACTAGCAGTGTTGTTAAATACCCGGGTATTTATTTTCAAGGGAAGATTCCCTGAATATATATACGGGGGTATTTACCCAAGATGGGTATTTAGAGGTATTTATAAAATTTTATTCAAATTGAGTTGATGGCAGTTTTGCAACCACTTCAAGAATGCAGAGTCGATTATCGATACACCAAACATATTTATAGCATTTACAAGAATGCTACAATGACGGTAGAATTGCATAAAAGTACCATAGGTCGTGGGGTAAGATAAGGTGATACAATGTTGAACCCAAATTGTTCATCACAATCCTGGAGAGAGCATTTAAACAACTGAATTGGACCCAAAAAGCATAAACATTGATGGCAAATACCTAAGTAATTTGCGCTACGCAGATGATATAGTCCTTATTTCGGATAGCCTTAGAGAGATGAAACTGATTCTGAACGAAACAATAAACGTTAAATAATATATTAAGTTTTAATCATAATAACTTGATAATCTAAATTACGACAGATTTGTTTGATGATAATACGTCTTCGATCGTTGACAATTCCTCGTCTTCAATGTCTATTTCATCATCTTGCTCTCGTTTTTTTCCGAATCTGTTATATTTTTACTTGTATCATTTTTATACGTAGGTACTGTTTGGGTATTTATCTTGGGCTGGGGTAAATACCCGGATAAATACCCATTTTATAAATACATACCTACCCGCCGGGTATTTACCCAACGCCCATCACTGTCTACTAGTAGTTCAATAGCGGGCCTAATTTAGTAGTTATACATTTATTTAGTATTAAGCTTCACCTACTTATATAATTTTATTTTAAAGCAGTTCAAAAAACGCTATTCATACGAAATGGTCGAAAAATACGATAAGATCGTAAAAGATGCAATATAATAAACAGACCGCTCGCACAAACTGTTTTGCCACGCCATACGCCCTTTGGGTTCGGGGCTAAATCGAAATTAGCGAAGAAATTAGAATATTCTTACCGTGGGAAATTTCAATACAACTCATTTATACTAAAAAAAATAAAAAAAATGTATGCACAAAAAGTAACCGGAAAATTATTATCCACGGCACCAAGAACTCGGTTTCGAAACTCTTCTTAAATCCCTTCTTTATCGACGTTATTATCAACAATTATCTAAATATCTCACCGTGCGGTCGTAGAGTTCGTCTTTCTATGCATTTTTTATTTGAAAGTTTTTTGGCTATATCACGGTAAACACGTTCTGTTGAAATTAAATTTTCAGCCCTGAGACTACAGCCTTAATATATTTTTCTATACCAACACTTTTCATAATACGATGACAAATAATCGGCCGGTCGTAGCGTATAAAAACACGTCTATACAATAGTCGATGTGTTTCTGTCTCACTTTTCAGTAGAAGCGAAACATCTGTATTTTAAAGATGCTAAACCAAACAC